TAAGAACCAAGATGCATTATGTAAAGGTACAATTCCCAGTGAGAAATTTAATTGTGTTGTATACCTACAATGTACCAATAAAAGAATTTAATAAAGTGCAAAAAAAAAAAAGAAGACAACTTATGTTTAACATATGGCAAATTGACACTGGCAGAAAGTCTGTTATATAGATATTAGTACAGGATTCACCAAAGGCGTCTTTGAAGAAATGGGAGGTGAGTTAGATCTTGTGCATTTGATTAGATATGCACATTCAAGGGAAAAGAAATAGGCTAGGAAGGCATGTAGGGGAGAATATGCACAGATAATAAGACCATTCAACTTTCAAAAGTTAAGAGCTTTTGTCTCAATACCATGGCCCAATTAATGAATATCTAAGTGCTTAGAGGAAGAATTTTAACTTTATCCTAGGTTAGTAAGGGCTTGTGATCTGGGGAGTAGCAACATGAAGAGTGTTTTACAAGTTGAGTCTGATAATTTGAGTAGAATATAGTAGTAGGGGATTACAGAACAAACCTCAAAGCATGTAATTTCACGGCACGTCTTTTAGCCTTTATTTGATATACAGGATTACTTGCCAGTATAAGATTAAAAACTAAACTTCAGTTTGCAGTTTATTAGTGTTTCTACAAGTAAAATACTTCAAAACTTCTATAAAGAAGGTTTATAAGGGTAAAGAGGCAATTCGAAGATAGACAAAAAAAGGAATGCTGAACTCTTCTTAGATTAAGTTATAGAAGTAAAAGAAGTAACCCGAAACTCTGGATTTGTAATTATCATTTTTCACTGCCCTACTTACATAGCTGAAGTCTGTATATAATGCGGGAAAAGTCTAAATGAGCAATTGGTAAGAAATATCAGATCCTGCACATGTCAGTTGCTCAGAAGCACTCACTTCCCAGCAGCAAGATAAAATAATATTCTGTGAGAGGTTATTATAAAAAGATTTATGTTTTTAATAAAATACAGCACTTCTTACCTTCATAATCCCACAGTTCATTGAAAGGCTTTCCTGGTTCTCCAAGTGGGGCTGGGGGATCATTGAAAAATGGAGCATGAACTTCCATCATTATTCCTCCGTCACCTGGATTCAGCCTGACAAGCACTGGCTCATGCTTCACTGGAAAACCATCCCAAGTGTGTTCAATTCTAAAATCCATCTGAAGACTGGAAAGCAAGGAACATATTAAAAGAAACAACAATACACACACAATTTCTTTAGTTATAAAGGAAAAGAAATTTTTAATGTGAACTAATAGACAGGAAGGCAACAGAGCTACAAGGAAAGGGTACCAGGAGCCAAAGCACCATCTGTATTGTGGCAAACCATGGTTCTGAGTTCTATTCTAGAATAAGTAGTTGGATCTTAAAAACTTTAAGACATTTGGTCTAGATTCAACTCTAGTTTTCTCATGAAGAGTGCACCAAAACCAGTTTTTAAGAATGTAATTATGCCTGCTGCAGAAATTGTTAATACAATTAACTATAAGTATTGTGAGTTTATATTTTCTTTCTTTTATCCTATTGTATGCAGGGGTCTGAGTTACTGGATCCTCAGGGAATTAAGACCTTTATAATAAAATTCAACTTGATTAAAAACTAAAAATTATTAGAATTATTAACACTTGTTTTGTGGCTAAAAACCAAGAGGGAAGGAAGAAACTCCAACATTTGAAAGACAGTAGAATTCAATTTTATGTTCATTTGTCCCACTGTATATACTATTTTTGCATTTCTAATATTTGACATTTCAACTGTTAAAAGACCATTTCCTTGGTTAATTTCTTCTCTCCAGCTGAAAACTGAGAACAGAATCTACTATCATTTAAACTTTGAAATCAACTAAGAATATATGAAACAAACACACTGCTTCCATTTTAAATTGTTTTCCTAAGGATTCAATGGAAGGTATGGTATTAGATCAGTAAAATTACATTTTGTTGATCCAGCATTTTACAAACATTGTTTCATTTAATTTCACTACTGACTGGCGTAGGAGATATTATTATCCTCATACAAATGAAGAAACATATCAGTCCAAGGTCATTTGATTAACATAACTAGAAACTGAACGAAGATCAGCCATTCAGAAATGTGCAAGAAGATGAAAACTTTATGTTAGGATTGATGGATTCTCCAAATTATACTTGTCTTGTCCAGTAGATAATCCTGACTTAGTACTGATGATATCTCCAAACTCTAATTTCTCTTACCTGAAATTTTTTAATGCAGTCCCATGCTTCATAATGTTATTTTATTGCAAATGATGAAGCAATTACATTTTCAATACATTTAATTCAGTGAATATGTATCTTATTGTTACTATATACTAAATAGTGGGAGGACCACATACAAAAGGTTTGTGTTACATAATGAGTCCAAGATCTCTGCAATCCCTTCTAAAGTATCTAGTTTTTGCTAATTTTCATGTTTCAACAAATTTTAATAGATAAGCTCTTAAATAGTTCTGGTGTTGCAACTCATTTGTAGAAACTCATAGAATTTCAGAGGAAATGTTTAGTAGTTCATATTCTTCACTACTGAAATAAGCTCAATGAGTGATAAAACTATAAAGTGATTCATAACATGTGGAATATAGTCTTAATTTTTATGGAATAAAATGCCTTAATAAATTTCTGTTCTTTAGCTGAAGTAGATCAACAAAAATAAATGTATAATCCTCCATCACAAATTTTGACCATACTAAGTATCCTTTTGCAGCATATAGGAAGAAATAAGAATAAATCAAGATATTAGAAATACTGATTAACTCTAACTCTGGTGCCAAAATACTCAAAGACTATGCTATTCTCCTAATTTGGAGCTTAAGAATTCTTGACAATCCTGTCAAAATATACTCCATGAATAAGAAGGTTCTTGCATATTCACCTGTGCTTCATACCATTCCCCCAAAAGTGCCAAACACATTAAAAACTCAAAAAACTACATCTATCCAAAAATTAAAGACCCAATTCAAAAACAGGCAACTGAAATGAATAGACACCTCTCAGAAGAAGAAATATAAATGGTCAGTAAGTATATGATAAAGTGTTCAACATCTTTAGCCAGTAGAGAAATACAAATTAAAACAACATTCCATGCTAGATTTCATCTTACTCCAGAAAAAATGCCTATCATAAAGAATCCAAACAATAACAAATGCTGTTGAAGTTGATGAGGAAAAAGGAACACTTCTACAGTGTTGGTGGGAATGGGAATGTTTACTAAAACAACCACTATGGAAATACAGTAATACATGCATACCTGTGTTTACAGTAGCGCAACATATATAACATGAATCTTGGAAGACGTCTATACATCCATCAGTAGATGAATAGATAAAGAAAATATGAGGGCTGGGGATTTAGCTCAGTGGTTCTGCCGCCTGCCTTGAAAGCACAAGGACCCAAGTTCAATCCTCAGTATCAAAAAAAAAAAAAAGGAAAATATAATATTTATACACAAAGGAGTACTACTCAGCCATAACAAAGTATAAATGTGAGTCATTTGTAGGAAACTGGATGCATCTTAATACCATAATACTTAGTGAAATATATCAGACACAGAGCTTAAATATTGCTTGTTTTCTCTTATATGAGAAACACAATGTATAAATCATTTAAAGAGCAAAATAAAAAGGTAATAGAAAACAGGGAGGTAGTCCTTTTGAAAATGGGAAGGGGAACTAGAGATGGAGGGAGGAGGAATGAGGGAAAGGGAAGGGGAAGTGAAAAGGATTAAGATGAGATATGTACATGTACCAACTCCCTGAGATGAATGTATTCATTATGTATCACAAACATGTACAAACAAAAAGATCATTAAGAAGTACATGCAACTCATGTTTCAGACAAATAAGTAATTGTTTTTAATACAAAAAAGCTAGAAATCAATAAAGACCAACATCCCAATAGAGAAGAAGGTAAAACATAGGAACAATAAGTTCACAGAAAAAAATTGCAGAATATTCAACCTCACTTATAAGGGCAGAAAATCAAACCAAATTGACAATAAATTTTTGCTTAGATTGGCAGAGGTCAGAAAGTTTGATAACAGTGTGTCAGTGAGGAAACAGAAGGAAATCGTGCATTGCAACTGTGGGAAAATTAGTATAGTTTCTGTGAAGAGCAATGATCAATATCTATCAAATAAAAATGCACATTCTTTGACTCAAAAATTCTAGATCTAGGAGTTATTTCACCTGGACATAATCAAAATGATGTAAGTATAAGAATAGTTTTGTTTAGAATAACAAAATACTGGAAACAAGTTAAATACATTTGAGAAGACCAGCAAAGAAATTACACTATATTATACAATGAAATACAACATGGCTGTTAAAGTAGATGAGGCAGGTCTATATGTACATGCAAAATACATTGTGAAGTGAAAAAGCAAGGTGCAGAAATTATGCCTGTAACTAATAAAAAGCAAACTTATTTGCGTATGCACTTGCAATCCATGCACTATCTTAGGAAGCATATATAAGTAACCAGTGGAATGGCATTGGTTGATTTTATAGAAAATTATCTGCCTGAAATATAGAGAAACCCTTCTTTCAATTTTATTATTTTAACCTATTTTAATTTTATACTATGATAAATATGCATTAGTATTTAAAATACTTTAAAAGTATGTTTAAGGTTGAGTATCTTACATAATATGATATCTGAACATTTTGAAAAAGTTAAACTGAACATTATCAAGGTGATCACCATCCTGTTATGCGCTTCTAATATTGGTTGTTGAGACTTTCCTAAAATACTGTCATTGATCTGTATTTTTTTCATTTTTAACCCTATTCTTCAAATTACTCTTTCATCAAAGAAAGTAAAAAAAGAATAATTTTTCAATTATCTTCATTTCTTTCTCTTTACTATGGAAAGACCTTTAAAGAAAATAAAAGGAGACAGAGCTTCAGAACATGAAGAGGACAGGGGAAAAAATAACCAATAAAGTTTAAAAGAAGGAAGTTTGAACTATTTTCAAGGAAAATTTCCAAATTGTTCTATTCACAAAGAGTCCTCTGGTTTTTCTACGGAAATTATTTTTCAGTTTGCACGCGCCCCTGCCCCATCCACTTCTGAGAAACGGAGGAATGAAGAACGTGGCCTGAAAGTGGAAGTAACCTGGGCCAGTAGGAAGCACAAGAAAAGTCTAATATTTTTCAGGAAAAACCTTCACGACAAGATCGGGCGACAGTGAAAGGAATGAGAGTGAAGCGAGCATAGGAAGAGCACGCAGACCCAGGACTGGAAGCTCTTCTCAGACCTGCCCAGGCCGGCTGGGTTTTCGCGGCAGAGGTCCTCGGAGAAGGTTCGGTTTTAGGCTCCGCCCAGCTGCCGCATCTTCTGGAGGAGGGACCAGGAGGGCGGAATCAGAGAGCCTTGATTTTTCTAGGAAAGAAAAACGTTAAAGGGCCACCGTTGACCACTGAAGACTTTTAGTCATTCCACTTAGGTCTGAGAGTCTTTCTAGAAGAAGGAAGTGTAATTCGCCAATATAAATGCTGCACAAGAATTTGAAATTCAACTGTCAATCATTAAAATAACAATAGAACGGGTACAGCAATAATTCATTTATTGCAGCTAAAAGCTAACTAGCCATATAGACAAAAACTATAAATTATATTAGGCTAGTTATAAATTACATTATACTCTGGGGAGGCATATACATAAAGGTTAACAATTGTGACATTTGGAACCATACTTTCTGGGTTCAAAACCCAACTCAGGCACTTTTTAACTGTATGATCAGATTTGAACTTTTCTTAAACTTCCCCACTTAGCATTCATAGTGCTGTGCACCTAGTACTAGGTGCTCAATGCCAACTGATTGAATACAGTAATATTAGTGAAATCTGACAATAGTTTTCAACCTATATAATTTCCAAAGGTCTCTATTACACAAAAGTATCTAATATAAAAACATGAAATAGTCCCTTGAGAATAAACAAATACTAAGTACTTTTCTTTTCCATTTCTCATTTCTTGTACTCCATTTGCATCCATGAATATTCACTGAATTTTTTAATGCCTTATCAGACATTCTTTCAACCTTTATTGTGCTCAAGTTTTATAATGGAGACTGGAGACAAATTTCAAAACAGCATGATGGTAAGGACTGCAGGAAGAAATCTTAACTGACTGCTAAGGTAACATGTACCTTTGGGAAAAGTAGATAGAAAACTTGAGAAGATTTATAAAACACTACAAAGGCTACTTCAAGGATAAAATTTTTATTAATTTTGAAAATACTTCATTAAAATTCAAACAGTAAATTCTTGAAACAACACCCACAAAAACAAAAAAACCTTTGTTGACTTTGACCATAATCATATAAGCCAAATAATTCAAATGAAGCAAAAAAATTCCCATTTTAGTAATGAATTTACACAAAAACCACTCATTTATATCAGAAGGCACTGTTTATTTTCATCTACACTAATATATCTTATCAACTTTGAAGGTAAATGTAGAGTTGAATTAATGCTACTTGTTGAATGACAATACATAATGTTCAACTGTGGAAGTTGCAAGCAAGTCCTCAGGGAGACAGTAAGAAGTTCATGAAGAAAAAAATCCAACAATGAATTTCAAAACAACTGGAGCTTACACATTTAATTTTCCCTTCTCGTAAGTTTTACTATTAATTTCATGGCCATTAAAATCCAAAACAATTTCAATGTTAATGAACTCAAAGCTAAATTAAACCTTTTCATGATTATTACCTACACGTGCATATTTCTCAGCTAGCCTTTAGGGGAAAGTGACCATTTCACTTTCCTAATCAAGTACAGTATAGAGTAAGGTCCAAAACAAGTCCTCAAATACCTAATTGAGCATATTTTAAATATTTGTTAATACATCTTGCCAGCATTCCTTTATATGACATCATGAGTAAAGGCTAAAAAAATTTAAACTTCTTAAACTGTTAAACAGAAAGCCAAAGCAAGCTGTATCTATGACATGTTTTAGTGAAACTTTTATTTCAATCCATAAAAACACAATCTATTAAAAAATAATAAAACCAGTGGCTGGCTTGAATTTAACATTTCCAGTGTTCATGTTGTCATTTCTTCAATGTTATATGTATTTAAAAATTTATAGGACAGGGTATTTAGCTCAGTGGTTCCACTGCCTGCCCTGCAAGTGCAAGGACTCGAATTTGATCCCTGATACCAAAAAAAAAAAATTATAAGTTTTAAACCCAGACAAAATTAATTTTTAAAACTGGGAATTCCGATCTATCCACAAATTTATATTTTACTTTTTTCTTGAGAAAATGTAACTTTTCCTTCTATGTGAAGAAACAAACATCTCTGAAGTAACTGCTAAATTTGCAAGATCTTTACGTACTTCTATCCTCACGGAATATTATCATAGTTACATTTCAACAGTTGTATCCTTTCTCTAAAGACCGACGAGGGGCAGGACAGTGCTTATGTTCTGGACACGACCAGGTTCATACCCAGATATACTGCACAGGGACAGCTTAGACCGGGGCTTCTGAGGAAGCCAGTCCGGGCGGCCCCGTGGCCGTACAAAGCACATTTCTACCCACCCTCTTTGGCCAGTGGGCTCTCTTAGTTCAGAAATGCTGAGTATATTAGCAAACAAAGATACGAAGGGATTTTTACCTAATGCTCTACTCATGTTACATTTTAGAGGAGGATTAAAAAGAAAAAGATGCTGGGCCGCACCACCTGGGTGTAGGCACTGTTCAGCCGGGTTGCCCGCCGCGCCCAGCCTGTGGCTCAGCGCGCTGTCGACCAGATTCTCACGGATCCACCCATCACTTGACAGATAGCCAATAGTATGCTAGGGCCGTAAAAAGCGCGATGACGTAGCGCTGACGCTCGCGTGATGACGGAGGCGGCGTCACCGTCTCCAAGGAGCGGTCTGGGGCACCGGTTTCAAAGTCGCAGGGCGGGCCCGGTGGACTTCCGCTGCTGGCCCGGGCTTCCCCGCAGTCCTGTGGTCGCCCCCCAGCTCCTCTGGGGACGTTTCCAACAGACTGCCCTCCTTCCGGCTGCCTCTGCGCTCACCTAGGTGGCCCGACAAGACTCCGGGTGAACCACAGGACACCTCAATCGACCCTCGTCCCCTTTTCAGGAGGCTGGGATTCGGTTGAACCGAATTCACTTAGCACGTGCCGGCCAACTGAAATCTGAAGTCTCCTCCGCTGGCCAGGTACCCGCGCGGGAGACGGAAGCGCAGCAGGACTGCGACGCTGCGTGGGTGGGATGCTGATTACAACCCTGGCCGAACTGCTGCTTGACAACCTCCGAGTGTTGCTTAGTTTTTTATTTTCCTGCACTGGGAGCTCCGGGTTTTTTTTAGAGGAAAGAGAAGGGTGGTGAAAGCGCCAAACAAAAATTAGATCGAAATGGCCACAGAAATCGACTTTCTGAGAGACCAAAGTAAGCTCCATATTCCTTTATTGAGAATTTGTATATAATGTTTGATGTCGTCATTGTTAACCAGCGAATGTGTTTTGAATACCTTTTGGACCCCAGTCAGGAAATCTGTAAAAACTTAAAAGAACTTAGCTGCGTAAAAAGCTTAGTGATATACCTGAAGATATGCATGTACTTAAGCAGAAACGTTTGGTAAATGCTTGTAGGTTTCGTAAGCTCACATCTACTAGACACTGAGCATGTTTGTTATGCTCTACTTGTACTCTGAAGAAATTAGAGTGCTAATGGCCAGAAAGAGTTTCCAAGTCTGCAGTTAAGAGCCTTAGAGGCACAGCTCTGGCCATTTGTTTAAAAGATGTTTACTGAGCTGCTCCCGTTTTTGTTATATGCCAGGCCCAATACAAACCTAGCTGCAACAGAGATGAAGTCTTACCCTCCAAGAATTTGGGGAAGGAAACATGTAAATCCTGTAAATACACTGAAGTGGCACCAACTGCTAAAGTTTCTTCGTAGGGTCGTTGGAATTATTAAATAAACATTAAAGTACGTAAGGATTTAGGATAGTGTCTGACACATTGTGCTAAACAAATATGAACTATTACAGGTTTAATATTAAACTGTGGTCAAGGAAAGTGCCATTTGGACTGAAAGTTGAAGTCTGTATGAGTTTACTATATAGAGAACTGTATAGGTATCCTAAGTAGAAAAGTATGCATTTGCAACATGGAAAGGATTAGGAATATGCTTTGTTTAAAGACTTGTAGCCAGGTTGGCTAGAATGGAATATGAAGGTTTATATAGGGAAATGGCAAGAGGTGCTGAATGGGGTTAGATGGTGAAAGGCCTTGTCGTCATGGTAAATAATTCACTTGGAAGTATCATGATCAAACTGGTTTAGAAAGCCCAGATCTGGCTATTCCGAGGAATATGCATTGTTGCACAGTGCATGTAGGTAACTACTATTATCATCCAGGAAAGAACTGAACTAAAGTAGATGCAGTGAGATTGCAGGTCAGGAGATTTGAGAGAAAGAGGAAGAGAACAACTCTCAAGGTTTTGACTTGAGCAATAGGGAGGGTAGGAAAAAGGTGTTAGTTCTGTTTTGGAACCTTTAAAGACCGCTGGTTAAGAACTCAGTTTCTATATTAGTCTATGTGGCCATATATCCTCTGTCTACCTTGGTGCAAGTCTTCGCCATGTCTTACTTCTTCTTACTTCGCGTTTGTCTTACTTCTCTATGCTTCAGTTTTCTCATTTATAAAGTGAATATAAGGACCCTCATGGAGTTGTGAAACTTAAATGAGTTGCAGTAAGACCTTTTGCACCATGTCTGACGTATTAGGTACACAGTATGTATGTATGTATGTATATATATATATAAATGTATATACAGATTATGTGTACATATCTATATCATCTAAAATACTTGACGGCAGTATAACATTAGCATTGTTTCTTAGGTTTGAAGTGAGAGTAACTTCATCCCATAGGACGACTAACTGTCCACCATCTAATGGTGTGGGTCAGGAATTGCATGGTGAGGAGTTTAGCTAAGTTGAGGAGGGTACCTGAATTTAAGAAAGAATGAATTTTAGAAGAATGAGCCAGCCAGAATTCTTAGATATACTAAGAATCCAAATACTAGAGAAATCTAAATACTAGAGAAAACCAAGTAAGACAATTGAAGAGTAGTAACTTCTTTCTTGAAAAATGAGTGGTAGTTCACCGGAAGACAAGTGAAGTGAAAGTAGGGAATGTCAAGCAGAAGGAGCAGAAACAGCAAGGTTCAAAGGCTTGAGATAACTTTTTCAGGAAATTGGAGCGTGGAATGGTAGTATTTGCCTTAAGTGATAAGAGTGTTGGGTCTCTGTGACTCCCTCCTTTTTTCCTTTAACTGGACCTTGTATTCCAGCTAAAGTGCTGGGTTGGAACACCAGCTCAGATTTAGATAGATGGCTTTCGTCCTCCTGCTTGCCTCTGACCTTCTCTACGTTGACTCCTGTTGATCTTGATCACCTCCTTTTAATCCTTCCATTTGGATT